CGTATGACAGGGTGGATAGGGGGGCAATGTGGCAGATGTTGCAAGTGTATGGTGTAGGAGGTAGGTTTACTGAAAGCAGTGAAGAGTTTTTACGAGGATAGTGAGGCTCAAGTTAGAGTATGTAGGAAAGAGGGAAATTTTTTCCCAGTAAAAGTAGGCCTTAGACAAGGATGTGTGATGTCACCGTGGTTGTTTAATATATTTTATAGATGGGGTTGTAAGAGAAGTAAATGCGAGGGTCTTGGCAAGAGGCGTGGAGTTAAAAGATAAAGAATCACACACAAAGTGGGAGTTGTCACAGCTGCTCTTTGCTGATGACACTGTGCTCTTGGGAGATTCTGAAGAGAAGCTGCAGAGATTGGTGGATGAATTTGGTAGGGTGTGCAAAAGAAGAAAATTAAAGGTGAATACAGGAAAGAGTAAGGTTATGAGGATAACAAAAAGATTAGGTGATGAAAGATTGAATATCAGATTGGAGGGAGAGAGTATGGAGGAGGTGAATGTATTCAGATATTTGGGAGTGGACGTGTCAGCGGATGGGTCTATGAAAGATGAGGTGAATCTTAGAATTGATGAGGGAAAAAGAGTGAGTGGTGCACTTAGGAGTCTGTGGAGACAAAGAACTTGTCCTTGGAGGCAAAGAGGGAATGTATGAGAGTATAGTTTTACCAACGCTCTTATATGGGTGTGAAGCGTGGGTGATGAATGTTGCAGCGAGGAGAAGGCTGGAGGCAGTGGAGATGTCATGTCTGAGGGCAATGTGTGGTGTGAATATAATGCAGAGAATTCGTAGTTTGGAAGTTAGAGAGAGGTGCGGGATTACCAAAACTGTTGTCCAGAGGCTGAGGAAGGGTTGTGAGGTGGTTCGGACATGTAGAGAGAATGGAGTGAAACAGAATGACTTCAAGAGTGTATCAGTCTGTAGTGGAAGGAAGGCGGGGTAGGGTCAAGCCTAGGAAGGGTTGGAGGGAGGGGGTAAAGGAGGTTTTTGTGTGCGAGGGGCTTGGACTTCCAGCAGGCATGCGTGAGCGTGTTTGATAGGAGTGAATGGAGACAAATGGTTTTTAATACTTGACGTGCTGTTGGAGTGTGAGCAAAGTAACATTTATGAAGGGATTCAGGGAAACCGGCAGGCCGGACTTGAGTCCGGGAGATGGGAAGTACAGTGCCTGCACTCTGAAGGAGGGTGTTAATGTTGCAGTTTAAAAACTGTAGTGTAAAGCACCCTTCTGGCAAGACAGTGATGGAGTGAATGATGGTGAAAGTTTTTCTTTTTCGGGCCACCCTGCCTTGGTGGGAATCGGCCAGTGTGATAATAAAAAAAAAAAAAAATATTTTAGCTTTTCTTATCCCCTTTTAATGTCCCTCTTAATGTCAATATACTGATTCATAAGATGACCCTCACCTCTTTTGATACGCCTATAAATTCCTTTCTTATGCCCTAGTAGATATTTGAGCCTATTATTCATCCATTTTGGGTCATTTCTATTTGATCTAATTTCTTTATATGGGATAAACGCTCTTTGAGCAGCATGTATAGTGTTCAGAAAACTGTCATATTGATAGCTCTCTTCGTTACCCCAGTCAACAGATGATAAGTGTTCTCTAAGCCCATCGTAATCTGCTAAGGCAAAATCTGGACTGTTACTGAGTTATCGCTACTATCGTACTTCCATTCAATGCTAAATGTAATTGATTTGTGGTCGCTAGCACCCAGTTTCCTCTGAATTTCTAAATTATTAACAAGGGATTCATTGTTTTGCCATAACTAAGTCAAGTAGGTTATTTCCTCTTGTAGTTCTGTCACAAACTGCTTCAAAAACAATCCTGAAATACTTCTAAGAAGTCGTATGATTCTAAATTCCCAGTCAAGAAATTCCAATCAACATGACTAAAGTTAGTCTCCTAGAATTACTACATTATCGTGCCTTGTGGCCTTAACAATTTCCTCCCATAGTAGTTTCCCTTGGTCCCTATCTAAGTTTGGGGACGGTATATCACTCCTAAAATCAGTTTTTTCATGCCCCTCTGAAAATTCTATCCAAACAGACTCTGTATGTGTTACTTCAGACTTAATACCCGTTTTATGCAACAGTTCAAGCGATCTCGGACATACAATGCCACCCCACCCCCCCTCCCAATACTTCTATCTTCTTGAACAATTTAAAACCCTGAATATGACATTCCGCAGGCATGTCCCGACTTTTTGAATTAAACCACGTCTCAGTTTAGGCAAATACATCAATGTTACCTACACTAGCAACTAATCTCAACTTGTCCATCTTATTCCTAGCACTACGGCAATTAGCATAATAAACATTGAAAGACTCTCCTTTCTCTTTACCCTTCCTGCTCATTTCTATTTTTCTACTAAACCTGTTACTGTCCTTATCACCCAAGGTCCCTGGCTTTTCAATATCTATCTCGTTCTTATTATTACTAGTTCCCCTAGAACTCGTAATATTACTACACTGGGACTTCATGGTTTTCCTGCCAAAACCCATACCACTAACTATTCCTAGTTTAAAGTCCTAACTGCTCCCTCCACTGCAGTTGCCAGTGCTCCCACCCCACACCTAGATAAGTGAACCCCATCCCTAGCATACATGTCATTTCTGCCATAGAAGAGGTCCCAGTTGTCGATGAATGTTACCGCATTTTCCTTACAGTATTTGTCCAGCCAGCAATTGACACCAATTGCCCTGGACAACCATTCATTTCCAACTCCCCTCCTTGGCAAAATACCACATATGAGAGGGTTCCCACCCTTGCTTCTAATTATTTCTATTGCTGACCTGTACCTGCTAATCAGGTCCTCACTCCTACGTCTACCAACATCGTTGCCTCCAGCACTGAGACAGATAATAGGATTGCTCCCATTACCTCTCATGATGTCATCCAGACGGCTAACAATATCCTCCATCCCAGCCCCAGGAAAGCAAACTCTCTGTCTCCTACTCCTGTCCTTCAAGCAGAACGCCCTATCCATATACCTAACTTGGCTATCCCCAACAACAACAATATTCGTACCTTCCTTAATGTCTTTCGTCGTGACGTTCCCAGAGATGCTTGTTTCAGCTTGCTCAGGGTGGTACTTCTCCACAAACATTTGGACATCATTCCACTTGGCGCAAATCTCCTTAATCTTTGAAGAAGGCGGACAGGTCCGGTACCCGGCAGTTCGAAAATAGGGACGAGTTCGATAATAGGGACAAAGTTGGTTTGAAAAAAGCGGTCAATTTTCGAAGAGTTCGATAAGCAATATGTTCAAAATTTGAGGGCCACTGTATTTCATTTGAAAAAATTATTTTGTTTAATACTTTTGGGTGTCTGGAACAGATTAATTGGGTTTCCATTATTTCTTATGGGGAAAATTAATTAGGATTACGACAGATTCGGTTAAAGACGCTCTCTGGAACGGATTAATGTAGTAATCTGGAGGTCCACTGTATCTGAAAACATTTACTTCTTCCATATGTTTTCAGATATTTCAGATACATGCTCTGCCAATCCCAAAGTACCTTCTCCTCTTTCATACATTTATTAAACAAAAATGCCAACCACTTCAACACTATATCTCGTCCTGCTTTTAACATTTCTGTCATTATCCCATCCATTCCAGCTGCTTTACCCCCTTTCATCCTACGTAATGCCTCATGCACCTCCCCCACACTTGCATCCTGCTTTTCTTCACTCCTAGAAGATGTTATATCTCCCTGACCAGTGCATGAGATTACTGCCTCCCTCTCTTCATTAACATTTAAAAGTTCCTCAAAATATTCCCACCATCTACCCAATACCTCCAGCTCCCCATCTACTAACTCCCCTACTCTGTTTTTTAACTGACAAATCCATTAGGCTTTCTTAACTTGTTTATCTCGTTCCAAAATTTTTTCTTATTCTCAGCAAAACATCTTGAACAAATTTTTCTCAGGAATAGTTTAACCCCCTTAATTTTTGCTCGAGAGTTTGGTCTTAAATCCTTGAGCTATTCTCAATTATTTGAAGGTGATTGTTTCCACTAGGTTTTATAAAAGTGATTTTGGTTTAAATTTTCTGTGTATGGAACATTTGTTCTGTTGGATGATCTTGAATGTAAAATTTCATTCCAATCCCCGCTTCATTTGAAAGCAGATGATGACGAAGGTGCATAAAACTGGGAGTGGAAGGTAGGAGGGGTAAAGGTTGTAACTGGAATGATTGGTAGGAAGGGTTAAAGGAGGCCTTGAGTGTTAGGGGCTTGAGCATCCACCAGGCATATGTGATCATGTTAGAATGGAGTGAGTGGAGGCAGGTGGTTAATAATGGATGTGCTGTTGAAGAGTGAGTAAGGGAACATTTATGAAGGGACTTTGGGAAACCAGGTAGCTGGACTTGAATTGTGGAGGTGGGAAAGGCAGTGCCTTCACTCTGGAGGAGTAGGGATATTGCATCTTGGAAATTCATCTGAATTATATACACAACCCGCCTATGATGATTCAGTCCGTTTTGGACTGAATCATCTTCAGTCGCACTGAAGTCTCGTCTGAATTGTGATGTCATCTCACTTGCAAGACAGATTAAATGAATGATAGTGCATGTGTTTCCTATTTTTTGGTCACCCTACCTTGATGAGAGATGGCTGATGAGGTGAAAAAAATTATAGAATGTGAAGAACATGTACACAATAGGTATTATTTATTTTATGTACCACTATTGTACATTATTTATTTTTATATTTGCTTCAAAACTGGGAAATTTTAAAAACTTGTCTGGTCATTCTACTAATGGTGCAGGCTTTAAGAGTTGGTACTATTTGAGATAGCTCTTTTATTTACATACCCATTAAAAGATTTGATACTACTTGTTGATGCACACGTGGGCAAATTTGCTTTTATCTGACTTGTACATTGTGCTTCTTTTATATTTTAATGTTCATTGCATTGAAAAATAAATATGCAAGTTTAGCCTATTTAAGGGAGAGCAACAAACTAATATGCATGTTCATTCATGTAATAAAGGGTACTTCGAAAAGATCTCAGACGGACCTTGAGCTAGAAGTGGAGAACATGGGCTCTCACCTTAATGCCTACACCTCCAGGGAGCAGACAGTCTTCTATGCTAAGTGCTTCTCCCAAGATGTGCACAAGGCTGTGGAAATTCTCTCAGACATCATCCAAAACAGCAAATTTGGAGAGGTTAGTATGTTAAACTTGTTGTCTGTAGTGAATGAGATGTGCATCAAGACATTTATACAAGGCAAGTCATCATTTGACAAAATATTTGGAAGTTAGTGAAGGTATAATCTAGATGAAAAAAGAGTGAAACTTGTTAGGAGGGCATCCATACTAATGAACTAATTTTTTTGTCTTCAGTTTCTCATTGGCTGTCAGATAAACTGATAATTATAAATAACATTACATGGCACGTGTTTATGCGAGATCCCATCATTTACTGGTATTTATTGCTCATCTTTCTCAACCAGTCTGTCTTTTTTTTTTTTCAGTTATCTGTTCTATTTTCATTGCCTATTATACAAGGTATCTTTGAATCTACCAGAATTTTTTTTAAGTAGTTCTTTATTGTTTATGGTAAATTATTTATATAAATTAGTAACTTTTTTGGAAAACATCAATTCTTGTAGCATTTTGCTGGTGACATTATTCCATGAGGATATGAACTGTCATTTTTTGTTAGCATTTTTTCCTTCAAACAAATCTCATCCACTGTAATAGTTACTGTAGCTTAAGAAATTCTTTGGATAGATGAAAAGCAAATTTTGGTACTATGCAACAGCCCTGGTAGATTTATATTGAGTTGAGGGGGGGGGGAGACAATCCATTGAACTAATTTTTTTTTATGTGGGCCAGTGGGCCACAATAGCAGCAGTCAGGTCAAACTGACAATCAGTAGGGAAGTCTGGCTCCGGGTTGAGCTCTGAAGGTAGAAAACTCCCCTTGAAACTGGTTGTAGGTATGTATCTTGTTCACCCAGGCACTCAAATTTAATGTGTGTTAAATCCAAGTAGCTTGAACTTGTAAAGTTTTTATTTTGCATTTTTACATTGATTTTCTGACACAATGCATCATGTCTTATGATGGTAAATCAACTTGTAGTTGAGTGATAAATATGTGAAAGGTAAGAAAAGGCCTGAACCTGACAATAGTGCAGGTGTCAGCAGTGATGCTGAACATCACAAGTGAAACATAAAACTCATTGCCCTATTGATAAAAAGGTGGAATTAACTCAGTAATTGGAATATAGGGCAAGTCACCTATTGATATTGTGGTGGTGGAAAATTAGGTGTATGATGACCCAAAGGAACAAAAAGAAAGAATTTTATGATTACTGCTCTTGAAGGGCAGTGATCTCGTTAGTCAAAAACACGAAGTCTCCTGACTTCTGGCCATCTGTGACAAGTCTGTATTGTTGTTACTTCACTCTGACCAGATGTATAGATCTTCTTTCAACAAACTGGCTGTATCCCACCAAAGCAGGGTATACCTGGAGAGGGTTTTGGGGGTCAACGCCCCACAGCCTGGTTTGAGACCAGGCCTTGTGGTGGATCAGTCTGATCAGCCAGGCTGTTACTGCTGGCTGCACACAAACTGACGTATGAGCCACAGCCCGGCTGGTCAGGTACTGACTTTAGGTGCCTGTCCAGTGCCTTCTTGAAGACAGCCAGGGGTCTATTGGTAATCCCCCTTATGTATGCTGGGAGGCAGTTGAACAGTCTTGGGCCCCTGACACTTACTGTATTCTCTCATTGTAATCGCAGTGCCCCTGCTTTTCACTGGGGGAATGTTGCATCTTCTGCGAAATCTTTTGCTTTCATAGGGAATAATTTTCGTGTGCAAGTTAGGTACTAATCCCTCTAGGATTTTCCAAGTGTATATTATCATGTATCTCTCTCGCCTGTGTTCCAGGGAATACAAATCAAGGGACTTCAACCGTTCCCAGTAATTTAGGTGCCTTATCGTATTATTTGTGCCATGAAAGTTCTTTGTATACTTTTCAGGTCAGCAATTTTGCCTGCCTTGAAAGGGGCAGCTAGTGTACAGCAATATTCCAACCTAGAGAGAACAAACAATTTGAAGAGAATCGTCATGGGCTTGGCATCCCTAGTTTTGAAGGTTCTCATTATCCATCCTATATTTTTCTAGCAGATGTGGTAGATACATTCTTGTGGTCTTTGAAGGCAAGAGCCTCTTGACATTATCACTCCCAGGTCCTTCACATTACTTTTTCGCTCTATTGTATGGTTAGAATTTGTTGTATACCCTGATACAGTTTTAATTTCTTCAAGTTTTCCATATCTGAGTAGTTGAAATTTCTCATCTCTTCGTTGATTGAGATGTAAGCCATAGCTCCACGGAGCTATGGCTTACATCTCTGTCTGTCGGATATGAGGATGAGGAATAGGATAGGAGTGAGTAATGTGCGTTGTGGAACAGAGCTTTTCACCTTAGCTGCCTCGGACTTTACTGTTTACTACTACTCTGTGTTCTGTTTGTTAGGAAGTTATAGATCCATCTACCAACTTTTCCTGTTATTCCTTTATCATGCATGTTGTGTGCTATTAACACTGTAGTCACACTTGTCAAAGGCTTTTGTAAAGTCAGTGTATTCTACATCTGCATTTTGTTTATCATCTATAGCATCCAGGACTTTGTCATAGTGGTCCAGTAGCTGGGACAGGTTTAGACCTGCTCTAAACCTGTGTTGCCCTGGGTTGTGTAATTGATGGGTATCTAGGTGGTTGGCGACCTTGCTTCTTAGAACCCTTTCAAAGATTTTTATGATGCAGGATGTTAGTGCTATCTGTCTGTAGTTCTTTGCAATTGCTTTACTGCCACCTTTGGGGAGTGGGGCTATGTCTATTGTTTTTAGTGAGTGTGGGATGACCCCAGTGTCCATGCTTCCTCTCCATAGAATGCTGAAGGCACATGACAGGCTTCTTGCAGTTCTTCATGAACAGAGTTCCATGAGTCTGGGCCTGGGGCAGAGTGCATGGGCATGTCATTTATTGCCCTTTCAAAGTCTTGTGGTGTTAGGATAATATCCAAGATTTTTGAGATGACCAAATTTTGGGTCTCGTTTTTAAAAAATTAATTTAGACTGTCGATCCTCATTCTGGGTAACGGCTCGCTGAACACTGAATTGTATTGAGACTTTAGTATCTCACTCATTTCTTGGCTGTCATCTGTGTATATCCCATCTCACATAAGCAGGGGCCCAATACTGGATGTTGTTCTTCCCATAGATTTGGCATGAGAGAAGAAGTATCTTTTTTTCTCCCAATTTCCTTTATGGCTTTCAGTTCTTCCTGAGATTCTTGTCTCCTGTAAGATTCCTTCAGCTTAAGTTTGATATTTGTTATTTCACTGACCAGTGCCTCTTTCATATTTCAGTTATATTGACTCCCTCTCAGCAGCTCTGTGATTCTTCTTTGTCTGTATAGGGAGCATCTCTTTCTAGTTTATATCTTCTCTTTCTATTTCTTAATGGAATGTGCCTTTAGCAGACCTCAAGAACCCGCAGTTAATTTTTTCTAGGCAAAGGTTTGGATCCGTGTTGTTTAGCATGTCTTCCCAGCTTGTTTCATTTAGGACGTGGTTGACTTGTTCCCATTGTATGTTTTTGTTATTGAAGTTGAATTTTTTGAAGACACCCTCATGACTGCTCTGGAGCCCTGTGCATATATGTCTGTACCTTTGTTACATTGTGACGAGTGTATTGTCTTTGATACGGTTATATTACATATCAGATCGTCGTTGTTGGTGAAGATGAGGTCCAGCATATTTTCTAGTCTTGTAGGCTCTAATATTTGCTAGTTTAAGGTGAAGTTGGTGCAAAGATTTAATAGCTCGTGTGTGTGTGTGAATTTTCATCTGAGCTGTGTCTTGGGATAATCTCTGCTAAAATTATTTGCTGCACACCTCCATTTTAGGTGTCTCAAGTTGAAATCTCTCAGCAGCAAGATATTTGGGGCAGGAGCTGGGAGATTTTCCAGACAGTGGTAAATTTTCAAAAGCTGTTCCTGGAATTACTGAGAAGTTGCATTCGGAGGCTTGTATACAACTACAATGACAAGGTTTTGGCTTTCAATCTTTAATGCCAAAACTTCAGAAGTTTCTCTCTATAAATTTAGTAATGTATATAAGAGGAGTTACTAGCCTCTTGCTCCTGGCATTTTAGTCGCTTCTTATGGCATGTGTGGCTTATGGGGGAAGAATTCTGTTCCACTTCCCCATGGAGATAAAAGGGAAATATAGAAGAACAAGAACTAATTAAGAAAATAAAAGAAAACCCACAGGGGTGTGTGTATATATATGCTTGTACATGCATGTGTACTGCAACCTAAGTGTAAGTAGAAGTAGCAAGATGTGTCTGAAATCTTGCATGTTTATGAGACAATAAAAGAGACACCAGCAATCCTACCATCATGTAAAACGATAACAGGGTTTTGTTTTACATTCACTTGGCAGGACGGTAGTACCTCCCTGGGCAGTTGCTGTCTACCAACCTACTACCTAGGGATTTCTTATCATATTGGCTATACACAAAAAGTGAAGTACTGTACTGTAGTTTTAAAAGGAATAGAACATTGAAGGGAAAAGTTAGCATGTTGGTATGTAGCTGAACAGGTTTAACCCTTTGACTGTCACAAGCTCCTTTCTGAAAATGTCATTATGTGTTGCAAAATTTTTGGAAAAAAAAAATTATTTTTTTCTTATGAAATGATAGAGAATCTTTTCCCGACGGTAATGACACCAAAAGTATGAAATTTGGTCGAAAACTCATGGAATTACACTCCCACGAAGTTAGTGGTCTCGGCGACATATACACAGCGGCGATTTCGCCGATTTTGAGCCCTGTTTTTGGCCAATTCCGTTGTTCCAGTTGACCAAACTCATAGCTACTTGTTTAGAATTCCATCTTTTCTATCAATCGAGTACAAGAAACTGCCCATTTACCGATTTGAACTGCCCAATAAAGTGGTCAGAAATTGGCAATTTGGCCAGTTTTACGCAAATTAAAAAAGATGCCAGTTTCAAAATAGGGTCCAGAATAAATAATGTAGACATTCTTGGCACTAAAATAACATATCCTCTGTTCATTAGTCATGTCTCTAGGCCCCTCTTGTATTACTATTGCTTTCTATTTTGATTTTTATTCATACAAAATTTACTGTTATGCAAACTACTGCATTATTGTAAAAATAGTATAAATAATATCAGTGCACTAGTGAGAGAATATTAGACTCCCCAGTTGACGTGTATTGGACGTGTGGTGTGATTTCCTTGCTCTTGAACATTGGTAAAAATCAAATATTTCCGCTACTTTGAGCTCAATTTCAAGGTCGTTTTCATCGTGAAACTAATCAAAATCATCTCTATTTCTGCAATATGTTTTCCATTTTATCACGCAAGACCATGAAAACGAGAATACAACGATAAATACTATACGAAAATACACCTCAAAGTCGGCGTTTTAATCCTAAAAAACGGTCAGTTTTTTTCTCATTATGCACTGCGCGCTGCAGGATATTTTTGTGGTGCACACTGACCACACACACCCATTCTCACATGTGGGCCTACCAGCTTTCTCCTGCTTGATTTGAAGCCGCTAGTATTATTGAGTATATATACATCCGAAAGACTGGCTCGTAAGACGTATATATACGACCAAAACAGTCAAAGGGTTAAATCCCATGGAATATACATGTATTGGGTTAAGGGTAGATTCAGGGTTCCCGCGCGCGGAGCAAAAAAAAATCGAAAATATATGAAAAATGAGTTATTGTTACCAAAAAATAGCTGAACTTTCTGGCTACACGCTGGTATAATTATTATCCTTGTACGATGTTTCTAAAAGGAATTACAGCCATTTATAACAGGCATGGTGACAGCGCTGATGCAACATATTGCGTAAGAAGCGCTGACTCGGCTTTGTTGAAGTTTTTGTTACGTTTTTCCCCGTGTTATTTTTATCGTTTTCGTATATCTTTGTGTAAAATATAATACAAATTCACCATCTGAGATTATTCCCGAGTGGGCGGAGCTAATATGGTCACGGCACCAATCGGGAACCCCTGGGAATAGTGCACAAAATGGCCGACACCTCCAGCCAACAAAATATTCCATACCCACGCTAATATCAATTATAAGGCTTATTTATCTATCACAATTGATCTATTATGATATAATGCAATATAATAATAGCATATAAACATAAAAAGTACACCTTAAAAAAAAATATATAGCATAATATGACGCCCCAAGGAAAAAATTTCTATCGATATTTCCCCTGAAGGTGAAGAGAGGGTCCGACCTCTCTCATCAGTGATGAGAGAAAACGGATTTACAATGGTTAACTGTAATAAACACTCGTAGGTCGCGCAAAAAGTGTAAAATAAAGCAAATTTTTCGGGGAAAAAAATTATTTCCCGGGCAGCGGGGGTGCCACGCGCTTCGGCCTATATCTCGAAAGTAACTTATTTACCTATTTATGGGAAGATCACCTTTATTTATGATTGAATTGACTTGATTTCTCACAACAAACATAGGAGAATGATTGTTTTACGAGGTAGCGATCGTGTTTCCGAACTATCCAAAATATTTTTAGATTTATGTGAACAACAAGGCCGACATCTTCCAATATATCAAAAAAGTTATGAAACTTTATTTTTTTTTAGCATGAAGATAAGGTTTATTTTAGAATTGAAATCGACATTTGATGGAATTAGAGGTGTTCTATCAGCAGCAAGTGTCAAAACCACTTTTCCAAGTACCACTGAGAAGGACTTCCCTGCCAAATGTAATTTTTCGTAAATTTTGCATATTTCATTTCCTTTTTGGCCGATATGATTGAAACTTCAGCAAAGGCTCTTTAATATAAGCTTCTAATAGTACACCAAAAATGAACGTAATCGGTTCATAAAAAAAAAAATGTCGTTAAAATGCGGACCGCTGCCGTCCTTAAAACTGCATTTGAGAAAGCGTTTAACAGATCAAAATATCCCAGAAACAACTTGATTTTTAGTGTCTTTTCTTTATTTAATGATTTTTTTAACCCTTTCAGGGTCGAAAGGCCCTCTCCTAAACTAACCCTTTCAGGGTCGAAAGGCCCTCTCCTAAACTTGTTCTCAGGGTCGAATATTTTTCGAAAAAAAAAAAAATTTCTTATGAAATGATAGAGAATCTTTTCCCTGTTAAAAATGACACCAAAAGTATGAAATTTGATGTAAAACTTAGGGAATTATGCTCTCGCGAAGTTAGCGGTCTCGACAGTGTTTACGCATCGGCGATTTCGCCCACTTTGAGCCCTATTTTTGGCCAATTCCTGTGTACTAGTCGACAATAATATTTATTTCACTAGAACTCCATTTTTTCTATTGAGTGAGTACAAGAAACCACCCATTTACCAATTTCAACTATCCAATAAAGTGGTTAGAAATTGGCAATTTTGCCAATTTCACACAAATTTCAATAGATGCCAATTTCCAAATATGGTCCAGAATAAACAAGAAAGACATTCCTGGCGCTAAAATAACAAGTTCTCTGTTCATTAGTCACGTCCCCAGGCCCCTCTTAATTTCTTCTGCTTTCCACTTAGAATTTTTATTCTTACAAAAAATAGAAGATTTACTGTTACGCAGACTACTGCATTATTGTAGAAATGATATAAATAAAGAATATTAAACTCGCCAGTTGACGTGTATTGGACGCTTGGCACGATTTGTTTACTTTTGAACTTTGGTAAAAATCGAACATTTCTGCTACTTTGAGCTCAATTTCAAGGTACTTTTCATTGTAAAACCAGTCAAAATCATCTCAATTTCTGTAAAGTGTCTTCCATTCTATAAAATGAGACCAGTAAAACTAGAATACAACCATAAATAACATAAGAAAATACAGTGCAAAGTCGCTGTTGTAATCCAAAAACACGGTCAGTTTTTTTTTTCTCATTATGCACTGTGTGCTGCAGGATTTTTTTTTAATACCACTCACACTGACCACATAGACCCATTCTTTCATATGTAGGCCTACCAGCTTTCTCTCGCTAGATTTGAGGGCGGTAGAGTTTAGGCATACTATTACGTCAATAACCCTGGTGCGTAAGCCGTACTAGTACGTCGAACACCCTGAAAGGGTTAATAGGCAATAGAAAGAATATTCCTTGTTTTATTCATTGAGGTGCCAGATATTTTGTTTTTTTTGTTTTTTTGCACTTAAATTATTCTGTTTGGCTAGCTTTATGTAATTTTTTTTCGTATTGCTCCATGTTTGCTAACAGTACAATTTATTCATTGTGTATTTTTACTCAAAACTTTCCCTAAAACACCTTAATTTGGACACTGGTCAGTGCCTCTTACTGATTTAGACACCGCTTGTTCATTCCAAGTCTAAAGTAAATCAAACAGGTGTCTTGGGGAAGAGGAATATTGGAATAAGGTTATACGATACAATGGTACCTCAACTTATGAACTTAATTCGTTCCAGAAGGCTGTTCGAGTGCCGATACCAAACGAATTTGTTCCCATAAGGAATAACGTAAATTAGATTAGTCCATTTCAGACCCCCAAAAATACACTTACATAATTGTTTGAGTTGGGAGCTGTTCAAAACTCGAGGTACCACTGTACTTCAAATTTGTCTTTGGTTAAACTTCATTTAAATTATGCTGCTCAGTTCTAGTCTTCATGTTACATGATGGACATAAATAAGTGCACTTGAAAATATACAAAGTAGGATAACAAAATTGAGTTCATGTATTAAAATTCTAAATCTTTCCTACAAAGATGGACAGAAGGCGCTGAACTTGCATTCTCTGAAAATGCGTAAAATTAGGGAATATATGATTGAGGGGTCAAGGAATTGTTATGTGCAAGAGACTTAGACATTCAGCAAGCATGTGTGAGCATGTTAGATAGGAATGAGCAGAAGCAAGTGATTTTTATGACTTGACATGCTGTTGGAGTATGAGCAAGGTAACATTTATGAAGGGATTCAGGGAAACTGGTTGGCTGGACTTAAGTCCTGGAGGTGGGTAATACAGTGTCTGCACTCTCATGGAGGGCTGGGGATATTTGCAGTTTTGAATTGTAGTATCAACTTCCCTCTGGTAAGTCAGTGATAGTAAATGATGGTGAAAGTGTTGATCCTTTATTTGGGTCACCCCACCTCAGTGGGAGAGGGCTAGCTTGTAAAAAAAAAAAAAGTGTACATATGGAAAAGAGGAATGAATAAAGGGAATATACAGTGGACCCCCGCCTAATGAACGCATCGCATAACGTTAAATCCGTCTTATGAAGCATTTGAACGCGAAAATTTTGGCAAGATTTTTTTTTTTTTTTTTTTTTTTTTGTAAAGTGCATTGATGTTATCAAAATTTGCTATACTACATATGTAGATTTTGCTTAATAAACCTAAATATTAAAGTTTAACAATTGGTCGGAATTACTTGACTCGGCTCGCCAGCTCTTCCCTTTAAGGTTGGATGATTAGGTTCCTACTGTACTCATTTTGCTGCTGTGTGATCCCTACGGGTTAACCATTTTCTAGTGAATTTAATCTTAAAATTGTTTTCATAAAAATTTATCTAGTGTCATGACAATGTGCTTTGAATTGTGGTCATTATTGAGGTTGATATAGGTAAAGGTGATGCATGCTTCAGGGTTTATTGTATGTTTTAAGTTTTTGTTAGCAGCAGTATACTATTGTTGGTTATTTTGTTATTCCTTCTTTTGATATTTTAACTCTATATTGTCTTTATCCTGATCTATTACTAGGCAGAAATTGAACGAGAACGTGGAGTCATTCTGCGCGAGATGCAAGAAGTTGAAAGCAACCTTCAAGAGGTTGTCTTTGACCATCTTCATGCTGTAGCATTTCAAGGAACACCTCTTGGGCGTACAATTCTTGGACCAACCAAGAACATAAAGTGAGTTTACTCATCATTATTATTATTAGACTTTTCTCAGTATAGCATACATTCTTTTCAAATACCTGTTTTCAGTGTTAGATAACTGACAGTCAGTTTCATTAAACTTATATTAATATGAGTTATTTGAAATGAAATGGATTTCAACTAAAATAATTGTGAATAATAAGAACCATCTCTATGGGGAAGTGGAACAGAATTCTTCCTCCGTAAGCTAAGTGTGTCATAAAAGGTGACTAAGATGCCGGAAGCAAGGGTCTAGTAACCCCTTCTCCTGTATAAATTGTTAAATTTAAAAAGAGAAACTTTCACTTTTCATTTTAGGCCACCCTGCCTCGATGGGATATGGCCAGTTTGATGAAAAAGAAAACTAAGAACCATACATTTTCTAATGTTTTCAAGATGTTTCATGCTCAGAATGTTTCTAAATGCTTTACATTCAAGATTTCATGTAAAGAGACTGATAAAAAATTAAATACAGCAGATCCTTGAGTAACGTGCAGGCTGATGATAAAAATTGGCATAAAATATTAACCAAAGTAAAGAATATGTGAGAAAAATTGAGTTTTATTCCTTGGACCTTCAGAAAAGCCAGACAATTTTTTTTTTTACAAAATGTGCTAAAATGTCAAAAGAAGCAACTTTATTTTACCTCAAAATTTGGTTGCTGTTGCTTATGTGCAGTAGTGTAGTTTGTGTTATGTGGCCCTGATTAATACCTGTATAGACCTATGGTAGGCAATATCTTGCTACTACCATCACTACCTGCTATTAACATTGATAAAAATAAGACATTTCCTTATCAAATTGTGCAAAGTGCCTAAGAATTCACTAAAATTATATCAGACCTAAACTAAAGACAAATACATACGAGAAAATAATAACCAAGAATAATGAACTGTATGAGTTCTTCTTGTGATTGTTGTGATAGTGGTTTTAAGAGCCATCACAGCATGTGTTGTATTGCCAGTGGTTTAGAGGGTAGCTGGGTAAATATGACACAAACTGTAGTGGACTTAACACTTTCACTGTCGGCCAGATTGATTTGTGTTAGCAGGATCAGTGTTGGTGCTGTAGATCAATGCATAATTCATAACACACTCAAATTTGCTATGAGTAGCAAATTTTGGCCTGGACATTAAAAAATGGTTTGTATTAATGTAGTAGAATTACTGACAGTCTTCCTCTTTCAGCAAACTGGTCGTATCCCACTGAGGCAGGGTGGCCCAAAAAGAAAATGAAAATTTCTCTTTTAAATTTAGTAATTTATACAGAAGGGGTTACTAGCCCCTTGCTCTCGGCACTTTAGTCGCCTCTTATGATACGCATGGCTTACGGAGGAAGAATTCTGTTCTACTTTCCCATGGAGATAAGAGGAAATAAACAAGAGGAACTAGTAAGAAAATAGAAGGAAATCCAGAGGGGTGTGTATATATATGCTTGTACATTCATGTGTAGTGTGACCTAAGTGTAAGTAGAAGTAGCAAGGCATACCTGAAATCTTGCATGTTTATGAGATAGAAAAGACACCAGCAATCCTCCATGTAAAACAATTACAGGTTTCCATTTTACACTCATTGGCAGGACGGTAGTACCTCCCTGGGTGGTTGCTATCTACCAACCTACTACCTAGGAATTGCCAACAAAATGTTAAGTAAAAAGACACAAGTGCAACTAATGTGACATATTATTGAAGCAATGTTTTGCTCTCCAGGAGCTTTGTCAAGCTGTGACAATGGCTTGACAAAGCTATTGAAGCTATTGCTTGGATAGCTTAAAAATAGGTTGGGCAAATATTTTTGGTTGTATTTGAGGCAGCCTGTTACACTGTTCCTCCTCTTTTATGTTCTTGTGTAATATCAGCAGCAGCAACTATTTGAGGGCAAAGTTTGCTGTTTTGAGGAGGATTCTACTAAGACTTCAGAGATGATGAAGCTGCCTTTATTTTGCTTAATTGTGTTAGAAATAGTGATCATTAACCCCTGTTTCTAACACAGTTAAGCAAAATAAACAGCGATTAATGATCACTTCTTCTAATTACTGTTTCTAAAGCAATTAAGCAAAATACTGTAAAGGTAGAAAGTTGAAAGTGAACATAGATAAGAGTAAGGTGATGAGGGTATCAAACAATTTAGATAAAGGAAAATTGGATATCACATTTGAGGGAGGGAGTATGGAAGAAGTGAATGTTTTCAGATATTTGGGAGTTAACATGTCAGCAGATGGGTTTATGAAGAATGAGATTAACCATAGAATTGGTGAAGGAAAAAAGGTGAGTAGTGCATTGAGGTATCTGTGGAGACAAAGAACTTTATCCATGGAGGCAAAGAAGGGAATGTAAGAGAGTATAGTGGTACCAACACTCTTATATGGATGTGAAGCATAGGTTGTAAATACTGCAGCGAGCAGGTGGCTGGAGGCACTGGAGATGTTGTATCTGAGGGCTACGTGTGGTGTGAATATTATGCAGAGAATTCAGTGTGTGGAAATTAGGAGGGGGTGCGGAGTTACTAAAAGTAGTATTAGTCATAGGGCTGAAGAGGGACTGTTGAGGTGGTTTGGTCATTTAGAGAGAATGGAACAAAGTAGAATGACTTGGAGAGTATATAAATCTGTAGGGGATGGAAGGCAGGGTAGGGGTCCTCTCCAAAATGGTTGGAGGGTGAGGGTAAAGGATGTTTTGTGGGCGAGGGGCTTGAACTTCCAGCAAGCTTGTGTGAGCTTTTTAGATAGGAGTGAATGGAGATAAATGGTTTTTGGGATCTGACGAACTTTTGGAGTGTGAGCAGGGTAATTATTTTCTGAAGGGATTCAGGGAAACTGGTTAGCCGGACTTGAGTCCTGGAAATGGGAAGTACAATGCCTGCACTGTAAAGGAGAGGTTCGGGATATTGGCAGTTTGGAGGGACGTCTAAGCTGTCATATATGAGCGCCTCTGCAAAGACAGTGATTATGTATGAGTGATGGTGAAAGTGTTTTTTCTTTTTGGGTCACCCTGCCTCGGTGGGATCGTCTGACGTGTTAAAAAAAATTTTTATGCTATCTAAGCAATAGCTTTAATAACCTTTCTACTCATGTACAAGCTGCCTTTTACCACTGGTATCATTACTATTTCCTCCACTAGTACTACAACTACTACACCTCATTTGAAGCCTTTACAGTGGACCTCCGAGTTTTGTGATTAATCTGTTTGAGAGTCTGCCGAAAGTTGGAATTCATAAATGTCGAAACCATTTTCCCCACAAGAAATAATGTTAGTCCAATTAATCTGTTCCTGACACCCAAAAATATTAAAAAAATTATTTCTTTTACAGATTTAATCCTTTGAGGGTTTTGGCCGTACTAGTACTGCTTACGACCCAGGGTTTTTGACGTACTAGTATGCCTAAATTCTAGCGCCCTCAAATCTAGCGGGAGAAAGCTGGTAGGAATACATATGAAAGAATGGGTCTATGTGGTCAGTGTGCGCAGTATAAAAAAAAATCCTGCAGCACACAGTGCATAATGAGAAAAAAAAAGACTTTGACCGTGTTTTTGGAATAAAACAGCGACTTTGCACTGTATTTTCGTATGGTATTTATTGTTGTATTCTAGTTTTCTTGGTCTCATTTTATAGAATGGAAGACATATTACAGAAATTGAGATGATTTTGACTGGTTTTACAATGAATAGTACCTTGAAATTGAGTTCGAAGTAGCAGAAATGTTTGATTTTTACCAAAGTTCAAAAGTAAACAAATCGTGCCAAGCGTCCAATACACATCAACTGATGAGTCTAATATTCTTTCACAAGTGTGCTGATATTATTTATACCATTTCTACACTAATGCAGTAGTCTGCATAACAGTAAATCTTCTATTTTTTGTAAGAATAAAAATTCAAAGTGGAAAGCCAAAGAAATATAAGAAGGGCCTGGGGATGTGACTAACAAACAGAGGAAATGTTATTTTAGTGCCAGGAATGTCTTTCTTGTTTATTCTGGACCCTATTTGGAACTTGGCATCTTTTGAAATTTGTGTGAAATTGGCAAAATTGCTAAATTCTGACCACTGTATTGGATAGTTGAAATCAGTAAATGGGTGGTTTCTTGTACTCATTCAATAGAAAAATGGAGTTCTAGAGAAATAGTTACGATTTTTGTCGACTAGTACACTGGAATTGTCCGAAAATAGGGCTCAAAGTGGGCAAAATCGCCAATGCGTCAACATCGTCGAGACTGCTAACTTCACGAGAGCATAATTCTGCAAGTTTTCCATCAAATTTCATACTTTTGGTGTCATTATGATCGGGAAAAGATTTTGTATCTTCTCATAAGAAAAAATAATTTTTTTTTTTTAAATTTGGCCGACCCTGAGAACAAGTCTCGGAGAGGGCCTGTCGACCCTCAAAGGGTTAATACAGATTTATAGGTAGTAGGTTGGTAGACAGCAAACACCCAGGGGATAACTACCGTCCTGCCAAGAGTGTGTGAAACTAAAGCCTGTAATTGTTTTACATGATGGTAGGATTGCTGGTGTCTTTTGTCTGTCATAAATATGCAAGATTACAGGTATGTCTTGCTACTTCTACTTACACTTAGGTCACACTACACATACATGTACATGTTTATTTATACACACTCATCTGAGTTTTCTTTGATTTTATCTTAATAGTTCTTGGTCTTATTACTTTTCCTTTTATATCCATGGGGAAGTGGAATGAGAATCTTTCCTCCGTAAGCCATGCGTGTTGTAAAAGTCAACTAAAATGCCGGGAACAATGGGCTAGTAACCCCTTTTCCTGTAATAATTACCAAAAAGAATAAGAAGAAAATTGACAAAGTGGGAAGTCTGAATGTGCATGGATGTTGTGCAAATGATAAGAGAGATGATTGTGGATGTTATGAATGAGAAGAAGCTGGTTGTCCTGGATAAAAGGTTGATGGGTAGGCTCCAGGATGTACACGTTTATGGAGGGGCAACTGATATATCGGATCATTATTTAGTTGTAGCTACAGTTAGA